ATTAACCTGCCACGCATGTTTTTGGAATGTGGGAGGAAACCGGAATACCCGGAGAAAACCCACGCAGGCACGGGGAGAACATGCAAACTCCACACAGGCAGGCCGGAGCTGGAATCGTACTCTGCACCTCTGCACTGTGAGTCCGACGCGTTAACCAGTCCACCACCGGGCCGCCTTGCAATGAGTTTAGTGCTAAAGTTCACATGCTATCTTAAGGCACCTTTTCATTGCGCTGTCGCTTCCCTTTGTGAACGATGCCTCGTTTGCAACGAACGTCCATTTGTGGGATGTACAGCGCAACACAGGATATAAAAGCTGATGTTTTCAGTGGCATCCAGAAACACTGCTTGTTTTTTACTGTATACACAAGGAGTTAGAATTGAGAGCGAGACGGTCGACCGATCCAAACAGTACATTCATTCATGATGCACGACTTGGCAGCAACCCCTGCGGTGCACCAATTTGTTTTCTGTCATGGCCACATCGCAACTGGACTGCAGAAGTAGCCTCACATATACAAGGATGTATAAAAACAATATTCTGCTGACCAAAGGTAGCATCTCAACGAGTTCGTTTTCATTTATTTATACATTCGGACATTGTTTGTGACTGTGGGATGTGGACTTGAGGCTGAAAGTTCAAAGATGACATCTCGGAAGATTGTTAACGTGCCTCGGGCGAAATTTGAGGGGATCACTTCCGATGAAGGATTCTCACTGAGACCAAAGAGGATCAGGTTTGTCCTCCAATCAGATTGCCCTGCAATCGGAGAGCTCATGTTGTTCAGCTCGGTAAAAGGGAGAAGAAATGAAGAGTTCCAACACAAACACATTTTTATTTTACATGCAATGTCACCAACGCAACGCCTACAACATGCAGCCTTGAGATGTACCATTTTTGAGGTTTTCATGATCCAAATACAATTAATTATGCTGGCTAATTTAATGGGGAATGCTAATCTCCCTGCGTGGAACTCCGTTACATCAAGCATGGAGAATCCAATAGGAATCAAAATGCAGCGAGATATTGTGCTGTCAGAGTAACGTCCGCGCCCTGAGTTGAAAACAGACAAGCAAAAAACAAAAAAAAGCTGTCAACCAAATCAGCAGGGTTGTACTTGCAAGCTAGCGAACTCTTTACTGCTTCTTTCCGCATTCCAAACACATCCTGGGTCGGTGAACCGAACGCTCCAAATCGTGCACGGCGACCAGTACAAAGCGTAGCCCACTTCTCTCCCGAACGTCACTAGGGAATCGGCTCCAGCTCAACCGCGACCCAAATGGGGACAGCCGCTCGAGAACAAAGTTCATATCGCTAAAACTTGAATTGAAAAAAAACAAAAACAATATACTCTCAAAAATTGCACTGCATCATTATAGGCTTTGACTAATTACAAAGCCTCATATACATTGGATTCAATCAAGTCCCTAATCATTTCCTAACCAAAAGGCCGACGTGTCGGAAAAATGCATAACATTAAAAAAAATAAAAATTAAACATCTCCTATATTGGTTTGTGCTGCTGTATAGCACTCACTATAAAGAGTGCACTTTATTGTCTGGAATTAAGCAAATTGCATTTTGACTAAGCAGTGTTACGAGGAGTACTTAACCAGGATTCGTATTATCCATAAACTGTAGCTTCTGATGTGTGTACTCGTTAGATGCTATTTACGTCAAGGGTGACTCACCGTTGTCCCATTTTAATTAAAAAAATAATGCGTGATGATATCATTGAAATGAATTGCAAACATTTCGAACGTGTCTCTCGTTTTGAGGTGAATGTGTGTGTGTGTGTGTGTGTGTGTGTGTGTGTGTGGGGGGGGGGGGGGTG